GTTCTGCTACACTGATTCTACAAATACCCTTTAAAATATTATACCACTTTAAGTGACATGGTTTTCCCCAGAGAGTGTTGGAAACTGAAGTTTGGGCAGAGCACTGAGAGTCAGACTAGATATTACGAGTGACAGGAGTTGAGACATGGGTATCCAACCCCATTTGCTGTCACAGCTAATGACTCATACAAAGTTGGTTTACTCCATTGGGCTCTAGAGTGCTACGAGTGGGGAGGAAGGGCTTCCAGCTTCTGTACCATGCCATTTCCAACAGCAGAAATGGCAGTGTATGGGGGTTTGGGGTTGTGGGGGTGTTTGTCCTGTTCTCTGGTTCCCTGGCACGTGGCATCTGTGTCCCAACTCATGTCACTCATAAAGTCTAGTTTGGCTCTAAGAAGTTCCTGTTAGACATCCAGAAATAGAAAAGCACAAGAGTTAAATGTGGAACATCACTTTGAGTTCCCACAAATTCACTTGCTGCCATACATATGGCAAGAACATTATGAAGAATTTGGGACCCACTGTGCGCCCATGTCACTATGGCACCCTGTCCTCTTTCTTTGTAATGGGTGCCCTACATATGGCTCCGGTCAACTGGGGAACTATACACACACAAGACTTCACTGCTTTGAAATAAAGGCTGGAAAGGGGAGTGACACCTTGACCCTTGAAATATCACAATGTAAATTCTTATACAGTTTTTTGAACGCTATCGCGTTTAATCTAAAGGAAAGCAGACAAGCATAATGAATATTCTACAGTCCATCAGTGACAAATATACAACGTGGTCTTGTTTGTTGTAATGTAACCTCCAGGTGGGGCCTGGAGATCTCCTGCTATTCTAACTGATCTCCATATGACAGAGGTGAGTTCCCCTGGAGAAAATAGGTGATTTGGAGGGTAGACTGTATAGCATTGTACCCTGAGGAGGTCCATCCCCAGGCTCCAACCCACCCCAATCTCCAGGAATTTCCCTACCCAGAGCTAGGTTCATGCCAGAAGTGATTTCATGACATTGGAAAGATGCCTATCCCCACCCCCCATTCCACTAAGCAGAGAGCAGCAGGACCCGGGGTGGGGTGGGGGTATAATGGGAGACCTGACCGCCCTAGACCAGCATCTCCCTGAAAGAGCAGCTCACTGTATCAAATGGTGGATGGTTTCACCCAGGGGGGGGAAAAGATGCCTTTGCTGTGCAAGCAGCAGTGAGTGGGGCTGAGAAGGACAGGGAGCTCATTCACTCACCCTGTCCTGGTGAGGGCTGCGAGCTCCAATTCCCTGTTGCTCCAATTCCCTGTTGCTTTCACTGGCCAGAAAAAGCTTGATTGCTACATTTCTTCATGTGGAGTTACTTTGAAGATAAGGGGGGGGATGTTGCACTATGCAGACTGAGCTCTTTGTCTTAGGGACTGGTTTTCACTGAAGCGTGATAGTTTTGTTAGTGTTGCAAATGCAATTGATAGGGATCTCCCTCCCGTAGGTGAGTTGGTGTGTGAAAGCAGTTGTATTGATCCTTATGATGGGAACAGGCATCCATCCGGCTCAAAGTGGAACACAGATCATTGCATGAGATGTGATTGCCTTGGTGGAGAAATGGAATGCTGTCACAGGTAGGCCACAGCTGAGAAGTGGCACTGGATGATTCTGAACATTGCTTCCCAAAACCGACACAACACCTCTTTCCTTGCATACAGGGAGGGGCAAAGGAAAACTGGAATAAGAAAGCAAGTAGCCTCTTGGCAGATAAAGACTCCTTTCCCATTAACAGTTTGCCATAGGGATAGGTTCTGATGACATTCCTCACATTCACATGTACATTTCCTTAAAATGATTTCCTCAAAGCAAGCACTCAGCCTCCTTCAGCTGACCTAGACTGTCCTGGAAGGAAGCCCAGGGCACTTTTCAAGGGGTATATGTGAAGCTAGGATAGAGAGAAGGTACTCTAAGGAGGTTCTTTATACTTAATTGCTCTGTTTTTCTTGTTTTAGATATAGTGGCATTGCAATTGGTCCAGTAGGCTGCAAAGCTGTTGTTAATCCTGAAACGTGCCGCTATGAATTATATCGCATAAACAACCCTTCGGAGCCATGTTTCTGAGCCTCTACAACCTATTCCCGTCATATCAAAGAGCTGGAATAGACCAGGAACTCATGTGTCAATATAATCACATTCCTCCAATTTTTCATGCTCCCTGCAATATACCCGCAAATCTTTCACAAGCTGTATAAAGGATCAGTGAACCTGTTGTCATCTCCCCCCGTTTTCAAGTGCATATCCTGGCCAGGTTGTCATACAATACTTAACAAGCTTATCAACAGGATAGGGCAGATCTTTAAATTTCCTTCCCCCCTCCTCCAGACCCACTATGTTATTCCAATTCTGAACCATACACATCAATGGAGTATGAACTTTAATTTTACTTCCCTGATTTCCCATTCTGTCACAGACAGCACACAAACCACAGACAAGGAAGGCTAGACCACAGAAGGGAAAAACAATAACTCTCTCACGCAAAAAGACCATAGACAACACAGAAACCACAGGAGGTGGTGGCGGCTACAAGCATGGACAGCTTCAAGAGGGAATTAGATAAGCATATGGAGCAGAGGTCCATCAGTGGCTATTAGCCACAAGGTATAGATAGGAACTCTTGGTCTGGGGCAAGTGATGCTCTGTATTCTTGGTGCTTGGGGGGGCAAAAGTGGGAGGGCTTCTAGTGACGTGGCCCCACTTCTGGACCTCCTGATGGCACCTGGTATTTTTGGCCACCGTGTGACAGAGTGTTGGACTTGATGGGCCATTGGCTTCTCTTACGTTCTTATGTTCTTGAACCCAGCCAATCCCAATATTTTAATAAAACCAATAACCTGAAATCCCCTAGGTGGCACACCCCTGCTCCCCAATTAAGGAAGACTGACAAAGGATTTACTGACCTACCCAAAGAGGTACCTGTAGCCGGCTTACTGAAACCGGGTTCCTTGTCACTGGACTTCAGGGCTGCCTACCAGTGCTCAGGACTGCTGCTCCCACGAACTAACCCGAGGCAACAAGGATAGCTGAAATCAGCTAGGTGCACCTTTCCTTATACTGTCTGGCGCACCGCTCTAGCAGCAAAAATCCGAGTCACCAGCAGTACGGTCCCTGTTTGGGCACCAATTTTGCTGTGCAAATAGATTCCCAAGCCAAAAAGGAAGCCATAATGAGGAGGAAAGTTCATTGGTTATTTAATTGCAATCAAATAACTGAAAACAGTTAGGTCAAACCGGCCTATCAAAAATTGACTGCTTTTTGAACAATAGCAGGAAGTACACGAAATTTTATACCCTAAGTGACATAGGCAAAAAGATAACATCCAGAAATCATAATTGGTCACAAAATGACAGAGCATCATCTGAGTAGTCTTTCATTCATTGGTCAGTTACAAGAAAAGGTGTGCCTACATGATATCTTAAATGTTTATTTAACCTAACTTTATTAATAATACCCAAGGATTCTTCATACCCAAACAGAAGATTTTGTTTTCTGATATGAAACTAAAGCCCTTGTTGACCCAGACACTGCAGAGTTTTTACCCCAGGCAAATACATCTATTGAAAAACCTATCTTCTGCTGTACCGGCAATACTGTAACTGAAGGTGTGTTAAAAACACCAGACAGATTTCATCAAAACAACTTAACGGAAAAAGAAGAATGTTGTTTCTTGTCTGCTAGCATCAGCTAAAAAGACACTCTAACTTACAAAAGAGAGGCCTTACCACTTAATAGGCTTTTATTAAAACATAAATTCATAAAACCTTAATATGAAAAAAAATCATAAAACCAGAAAAATATAAGTATATGAATAATCTGAATGTAAAAATCATTATATATTCCCATCCATGCTACAATACTGCAGAAGATTTCCCCCCCCTTTTATCTAATGAAATGTGGAGGGGGCTTCTTCTGATTGAAAGCCTGTCATCATAACTGTTTCTCCTGGGAAAAATACCCCTGGACTCAGTAAGTTCATCCTTTGACACCAGTAGCTGGGGTCGTCAACTCCTGGATGGTGAATTCCTGGAGATTTGGGTGGGTGGGCAGAACCTGGGGAGGGCAGGGTTTGGGGAAGGAAGGTATAATGTCAAAGAGTCCACCCTCCAAAGCAGCCATTTGCTCCTGGAGAACTGATATCTGTAGTCTGGAGATTCCAGATCTCCAAGTCCCACCTGTAGGCTGGCAAACCTACCAGCAGCAAGTGGAAGTAGAAACAAACATTTAAATGAGGAAACAGAATAGATTTTTAAAACACATGAGTGTAAGCAAACATAAGAGACCTAGCAAAGTTTTGCAACTTATTATTGACACTTGTATGTTTTGTTTGGTGTCAGAAAGACATTTGGTCCTACTGGTTTTTACAGCTCACATCTGGCAGGTGCTCCGCCAACTGCATTGGTTGCCAATTGACTTCCAGATTTGCTTTACAGTGTTGGTAATTACCTTCAAAGTCTTACACGGCCTGGGACCCACATATCTGAGGGACTGCCTCTTCCCATATACGCCCCAAAGAGCATTATGCTCTATGGACCAACACCTCCTGGTTGTCCCTGTCCCAAAGGACGCCCGTCTTGCATCGACCAGGGCCAGGGCTTTTTCT